TCATCTCTCGATTCTAATGAACAATTTTCGAATTTGTGCAGGCCTAGCTGCTGACTGAAAAGCAAACAGCTGAGGAGGAAAAGAAAGCTCATGCCATTGAGCAGGCCAAAAACGTGAACTTGACTAAGAAGCTTGAAGATGCTGGGAAGAAAGCAGATCAGCTTCAAGATTCAGTGCAGAGGCTTGTCACTGATACCATGATTTTGGAAATGAAATCCTTGGTTGATCACTACAGTTTCAGTAGGATTAGTTATGGTTACGTTACTTGTTTATGATGCCTTCAGCTCTTTTCTTGCTGGTATATATTTGGGTAATTTGCAGCAATGACTTTTGTTCTCATGGTGGTCCTTTTTCCATAGTTATCGACTATATTTGGAGTTATTGTAATCTCTGCACGAGTTACATTGTCGATTAGGTTGACTAAATATCCTTTGCTGCAAGCTTGCACACTAATGGTTTGTATGTATAACGTTTTATATGCATGAATAAGATTGGATATGATGTACAGCTTAATTCTTTTGCAACTTTTTATTCTTCTAATGGTTCAGACTAGAAGAGAAGCTCTCTAATTTGGAATCAGAGAATCAGTTACACCGTCAACAAGCACTCTCCATGTCGCCAACTGGCAGAGCTTTGGCAGCAAGACCCAATACCACAATTTTTCAGGTACTGGTTGCATTTGAAGTTTTTTAGTTGAATGCCTTGAATATTATGGAGGTTTAGGTTGTGTGGCTTTTTTGAAATTCAGAGGACTCCTGAGAATGGTAATGTCGATAATGAAGAAATAAAGAAAGCTCTTCCAAATCCGCAGTTGACAGAGACCGAGAAGAAGCCCCAAACATCTCTTAATTAAAGGCAACAGGTCAGTTAACATACAAAATGAGAAAGATGCATGTTTTTTTCTTTTGGCCACTAGATAGGTGCTTGCTTATTAACATAAAAAATTATCTTTATTAAAAGGTTTAGCTTTCTTTTGGTTTTTTGGGAATGCTTTGATGAACTGCATTTAATAGATTTCTTCTGATTGGTGCAGGAGAATCAGGAGCTTCTGATAAAGTGTATTTCTCAAGATTTAGGATTCTCTGGGGACAAGCCAGTTGCTGCTTGCCTAATATATAAATGTTTGCTCAATTGGAGATCATTTGAAGTTGATAGAACAAGTATTTTTGATCAAATAATTCAAACCATAAGTGCATCAATACAGGTGATTAACAAATCAGCAATTAATTTTTGGCTGATCAATTTGATTTGGACAGATCACTTGGAAAAATTTCTATGGGATAATTTATATAGTAGTAAATTTCTTTTGTTTTTATTATTGCTATATAAATAGTCGTGTTTAAAATATTGCCCAACTCCAGGTACCGGATAATAATGACCTGTTATCCTATTGGTTATAAAATTTATCCGCTTTACTATTGCTGCTGCAACGTACACTCAAAGCAAGTGGTGCAGCAAGCTTAACACCTCAAAGGGGAAGATGAATGTCGGCTTCTCTATTTGGAAGGATGTCTCAAGTAGGAATCATTGTCGGTTTAATTTTTAAGTATCTACACACACCTAAACATGTGCTTTGATAGTGTTTTCCTTTCTTCTGACTAACCTCTTAGGGACTTCGAGGTTCTCCACAAAGTGCTGGTTTCTCATTTCTTAATGGTCGGCTGCTTGCTTTATGTATTCAGGTATTATAGAGCAATTCTTCCCAATTTCTTTAGTAGTTACAATAATAGGAGAGCTGCATTCTCATAAATTGAGACTTGAGTTTTTGCATATGTAATCAAGCTCAAGTTACTTTTTGTCCATCGATTGATCTATTTATACATTTTTCAATTCTGTAACTGGGTCTGTTGTGGATTTTTTGTTATCTGAAACCACTACTCTTGCTCATCCCTTTGATTTATTTTTCACTACACATTTTGTATTCCTTCTAATAGAGTATTTATTTAGAATTAAAACAAATTATAGATATGTTTGAAGTTTGTGGTTTAAGCTAAACATGACATCTAACAGTTCAAATAAATGGTTTTTGACCCAACTCTGCTGCTTTGGTTGTAGGCATGTTAATGGTGTGCGTTGTTTGATACTCTCTCTCTCTTCCAAATGTTCTTTAGCTCCCTATTCACATATGCTCCTATGCAGGCACCCAGAACTTCCCGGGCTAGGACGTCCTCAAGCAAATGCTATGGCGCAACAAGCTCTTATTGCTCACTGGCAAAGTATTGTGAAAACTTTGAACAATTACTTGAAGACAACGAGGGCCAATTATGTGAGTAAAGTTCAGATATGCCTTAACTACAAGTGAATTGATTTCTGTTATGGCATCATAAATCTCTTTGCTCTCTTGACTCTGCAGGTTCCTTCGTTCTTAATTTAAAAGTGTTTACTCAGACATTTTCATTCATTAATGTGCAATTATTTAACAGGTAATTCCACTAAAAAAGTACCAAAACTTGGAGTTTCCACCTTTTTTGTTATTGGTTTCTCTGACATCTTATATTAAACTAATTTTACCAACAATTTAAATTTGTTTTTGCAGCCTTCTTTTGCGGCGAGAATGTTGTTCGTTCAGCAATGGGGAGTACGTAAAAACTGAGCTAGCTGAGCTGGAACAATGGTGCCTCGATGCAACTGAGGAGGTAGCTTCTGTACTCTTACAAACGATCATAACCTCAATTTTTAACTGATTTTCTAATAAAATAAATGTTGAATGTCGGTTTTACATTTCAGTTTGCAGGCTCAGCCTGGGATGAGCTGAAGCATATTAGACAAGCTGTTGGTTTTTTGGTTCGTCTTTAATGCTACACTGCTACTGTGGTGTTTATGTTTGCATTTTTTTTCTAATCTCTCTTATTGACCTTCATTTTTCATTTTAACTTTATTTTTGTCAAAATAGGTCATACACCAGAAGCCTAAAAAGACCTTGAAAGAAATAACCTACTGATCTTTGCCCGGTGAGTTGCCTATACACATGTTGCCCCTTCTAAAATCTCCTTTTCTCCCTTTGCTTCTTACCCTTTTGCTTTTTTCCCCCCAAATATCAGGTGCTTAGCATACAGCAGTTGTACAGGATAAGTACATTGTATTGGGATGACAAATATGGTACACACAGTGTATCTTCATATGTAAGTTAAAACTACTAGTGTGCGCTTTCCCCCTTCTTCGTTTTCAACTCTTTGCATTAACGTGAAGGTGATACAACATGTTTTGGTAGTTGATTTCGTTTTCCGATCTTCATTACCATCATTTCTGTGTTATCATAGAACCACATGGAACCTTGCTTTATCTTATGAATTCCTGGTTGCTCTTATATAGGAACTTTTCTTACTATATAATAGCATTAATGAGTTCGATTGCATCATCGGTTCCTAACTTTTTGTCTCTGTGTGTATTGATACCTCAACACCTCAAAACATTATCTTTTGCTAGTTGCTGCTTCCTTTTTATCGAAGTTTAACCCAGAAATTTCCTCTCACTGCAGGTAATTGCGAGTATGAGAGTTATGATGACAACGCTGTCAGCAGTTCATTCTTACTGGATGACGATTCAAGGTACCGGTTATCATCACATTCAAAACTTACAAACATTTTCATCCATGGGTATAAATTGGACCATATATGCATTTGGCTTTCTCTTGCAGCATTCCATTCTCCATGGATGATATCTCCAAGTCGATGCAACAAATAGAGGTGGCTGAAATCGATCTGCCACCTTTGATTCGCGGACACTCCGATTTCACATTCTTGTTACAATATTCTGAATGAAGGAAGCCATCTTTTTGCCTCCTTTGCTCTACCGTTACGATATTTGCGCACCGCTCATGATATATGTGCATACTCTGTAATTATAGCTGGCTTTGTTCTTCATACCAAGTACACCACATCCGGTGTCTTTCTTCACTTATAATAGGTTGGGTGTTTGTGCTGTAGGGTTAAGCTTAATGTTGAGGTTTAAAGTTGGGTGAATCTTTATTATAATAGATTATTTCAAAATTTAGAGAGAATTTTAAAAATGGATTTTAGTAGTTATTTTCCCTAGTGCAATTTATAATTTGGTGGTTTAATTTATAAAATAATTTTTATGTGTTTGGTGGTATAATTTATAATTTGTAGGTGTAATTTTTAGGATATTTTATAAACCTGTATTAATTTACAATCTTTTAATTGGGTGGCCAAGATAAAGGTAATTTACTCTATTTTTTTGTCGTAAAAACAAGAAACGATTATGAAAGGAGGCGAAGGCCCGGAAGAAACTAAAAACTAAAACCTTATGATTCACCACTATCAACTGTCAGATCAACTTGAAAGTAAACTATGTTAATATTCGTACCAAACAAAACCTTTTCCAACATTCAAATTGACCGGCAATAATTTTATTCATTAGAAAATCAACCTTTACAATAATTAGCAATTTGGGAAATTATGATTTTTTATGAATAAGACTTTAGCATGTCACATTAGTATTTCTTAACGACAAATAATAATAATTACTATAATGAAAATGAATTAAAGGTTTATTGTCGTACATGTTTTAAAAGTTTAATGACCAAAATAAAAATATTCTAAAAGTATAGTGACTATTGGTGTAGTTTACTCTAAAATAATTATTAGATTACATATATATATATATATATATATATATATACTTTTTTATAGTTATTACTTAGAAATTTTAGAGAAATACTAAAAAGAAATTTTAGTTACAATTTAAGAATAGAGTAAGACATTACCCATTAATTTTAATATGCAACATCATCCCTTTAATAATAATTAATGATATTTAACGACGTGATGATTATTTTGTAACAAATTTCAAAGTTTAACGTCTATTTCGTAATATTTCAAAGCTAAATGTCCAAAAATTAGTTTTATAATAATTTAACTACGTTTATCGCATTTTACCAATAAACAAGTAATGAAGTAAAAAAAATTATCTATATAAAAACGTAGCTTCCTCTTGAAAAACCCTAAACCCTGAAGAAATAACTGCAGAAGGAGGCGGCAAAACAAAAGAAGGAACCAACTGAAAAGTGCACTTTTTGATTTGATTTTCCTTTTCCTTTTAATTCTTTTAGTGTTATTTTGCAGGTTAAAACGAGTCGCTCCCGAAGGATATATCTCTCGTTGGATTTTAAAGCTACGTGATTTTAATTAATACACCAATCATTTCTGTTTTCTTTGAGAAGAGTCAAATGTCTTTAGATGGTAATTTTAGCATTGAATCCTCACTCGAGAGGTTTCTTGCTCGCTGCCCTAAGGTTGGACGTGCTCAGAGGTTTAAGTCTCTTGTAGAAAAGGTATTTATTTGTTTTTGATTTGCCTTTGTTTTTTTCTTATTTAGTGGTCGGAGATGATGGTTTTATACCGTAAAGACAAGAAAAGAAGGATGAAAACTATTGTATACTGCAAAATTTGTTTTTCCCAGTTAAATTTTCAAATTTTTAGTAATTGTTGCCTTTAATATTCTCAAATTATGAGCTTTTGTAGTGTTCTTAATTCTTATTGCTATTTTGTATGGTTGGTTTAAATTTTGACTAATTGTCTAATTTTAATTTGGTTGGGACTTGGTACAGGGACGCCTGGTGACTGAAGAAGAAGTGGTGAGCTCTGTGGCAGAGCTACTTCTGCATCCTAAATATACAATTCCATTGATCGGGTGTTTTCGTCCAATAGCACAAGGAGTAGTGGACAAAACTGTGACTTTGTTGAGGCTTGTACCGAGTTTGAGATCAAATTTAGCTGTTAGTGTTGCTGAATCAGGATATATTGACGATGAAGAAGTTATTAATGTTATTGAGTTTCATACTCAACATGGGAGGGGATTGGATCTTCATGAGCTTGCTTGCCTAGCTTTCTGCCATGCCCTTGATTTGGCTCCTTTTTTGTTGGGGTAAATTTATGTTATTGTATTTATTCTCTGTCTCAAGCCTGTTCATAAAATAACCTGAGGCATGCTATAATTTGCAACTAAATCTAGTCTAGCCGTTTATAGTCTGCTTGGACACCTGAGTTTGGTTGTCCTTAATTCATGCTTTAAATGGTTTTTGCTTGAGTTATCACATGGATATGAATTTACTCTTTACTCTATATATACATCATTACAGGATTTATTTGTTGCAATACTTGAAAGTACAACTTCTCTTTTCTCTGAACCAGGTCTGTGTTAAATTACTTCAAATTTGCTCCTCCTCCTTTTGAGCGCATTTTGATGAAAGGGAGTATTCTAGAGCCATCTTCAAAGGTATATTTAACCTTAATTTATTTCTCATGGAGCTAGCAAATTTTTTATTTCCTTCAACATATCTAGCTAAGTTATCACGAATGCAACATTGATGGTTGGATGCTTGACAATGACAACTTTGTATTAATTATAAGATATAACCCAAATTGTTGAATTTGTAGAAAAAGGTGTGGTCAGGGGTTATGTTGTGACCAATATTTTTCACAGCATTATATTTATATTCATTTTACATGGTCAATGTACTTTGGGTGGGGGAGTTTTTAAAGTTTATTCTACATATTGCTTTCGGTGTAGAAATCATTTTGAAATGAAATCCTACTAAATAATACTCTTTTTTCATGTCTTTCTTATATCATCCTAGAAGATAAGAATTTAACGGTTTTGTTCTGCTTCCCATTGACTATGTGCCTTGTCTTCTTTTTTCCTAATCAGGTTATTACTTATTACTTGCATGTCGTGCGGACATCCTATCGCCTTCTGGTCATGGAAACCAATGTTTTCTCTAAATTTTGGGATTGGTCATGTTTCTTGGACTTCGTAAGGGAGGTTGTAAATCTTGATCAAGGCAGTGATATCAAGTTTGAGGAGGATATCTCAGACATAAGATGGTGTGGTATACAAATACTATCTGTAATATTGAATATGAATGACAGATCTATCGCGAAGTTTGGAGTCGGGGCTGCAGAAGCACATTCTTGTTTTTTGCGGTTTGTTTATCTTTATAACAAATTTTTTATAATAGGCAAAGTTTAAGTAGTTCCTGTTTTATAATAGACAGAGCTTGCATGTTTTGTGTTTTTTTTCTTCTGAATCTTGTTTCAACTCCTTTCAGATGGGAAGAATTCTGCCAAGATACAGCTATTGAGAAGGCCGGTGCATATATTGGAACCTTTGAACAAAATAAGCCAGCTTCTGAAAATATAGAACTTTGTTTTGGTCAAGAAAACTACCTTCAATCTTATGGCCTTGGGTCTTTTACATCATCACAGTTTCATGAAACTGAGCCACCTTTAAGAATTCAGAGGCTGGTGGAGTGGTATGTGACATTGGCCTGAAATCATTGGAGATTTTGGGTTAATAGATCGTATCTATATATTTGTTTTTGCAGTGATGTTGAACACATGGTTGCTTGTGGCTTTAGTGTTTTTCTTGCTTCATTTTGTAATTCAGGGACAATAAAGTAGCTGGAATACCTTATGTCATGACATCTAGATCAAAGCGAAGTTTTGAGATGGTGCTGTTGGCAGTCAGTCAAAAGTGGCCTGTTCTTCTGTATGGCCCTGCAGGTTCTGGGAAATCTGCCCTTATTAGCAAAATGGCCTGTGACAGTGGGAACCATGGTATTCTATTTTTTTATACATTTCTTAATTTTTTTAATTCTTAGCATACCACGATTTGATAGAAGTTGAGAAACTATCTCATAGAACCTGGAAACTAACAATAATAAAACCTTAAGTATCGCTGGTCCTAAACTGGTCAAATATCAAGTGGAGATTCTTATATGACTTGAGTTTAAGTTTACCTGCTTGACATTTTTTGAGCCGTATCATTCTTTCTTTCTTGTATGCATCATTATTGGTGTTTGTTTCTTGCTCATGGCATGCTTTTGTCTGTAGTACTTTCTATTCACATGGATGATCAAATTGATGCAAAAACATTGGTTGGAAGTTATGTTTGTACTGAGCAACCTGGTGAATTTAGATGGCAACCTGGATCACTTACTCAGGTTTTTTTCCTTTCAATGAGTGTTATTATTTTTCTTACTTTGGCTCCTGATGTTTTGGGATCTGGCTTATTTGTGGCATCTTCAAATTCCTTTTTTCTCAGGCTATTTTGAATGGATTTTGGGTTGTGTTTGAGGATATTGACAAAGCACCGTCAGATGTGTTATCTATTATATTACCATTATTGGAAGGTTCAAGCTTATTTACAACTGGTTTTGGGGAGGTATGTGTCTCTGTTCTAAAGTTTCATAAAGAAACTAGTGTTCCTGTTTGACCTTTTAGCTCCAGGGATGAAGAGTTCTCTGTGCACTTTTATAATGTTTTAGGTAGTTTGCTCTTGGATTAACTTGGTTAATTATATAAATGTTAATGCTGTTTGCTAATTTTATTTTTCTTTTCTGAATTGATTTTTTTCCGGCAAACTAAGGCAATGCTTTTGTTGTTTAATGAAATTCTTATGTTTATGGAAATAAGCAGAGGCTTAATGTCAGCCATTTATATTTTATTCTTGTTGATGCCTAACCCTTACCCGAGTCAAAATGAAGTCTTGTTTATCTGCAGCTTCTGTTCTATTGAGAAAGTTTTTTTTTTTCTTTTTTTAAATCATTTTCTTCCTTTACTATGTTGTTGTTGTTACCAATTGTGTAATTTTTTCAGTTTTAATTTTGAGGAACAGACTTCTTGTAGCTTATTTAATCTTGTTTTACATTTGACAGAACAAATAGAGAAAATGGTTTAATTCTTTTAGTTATGCTTTTAGAAACCAACATAACTAATGGTGCTTTTGCAGGAAAATAAGGTGGCTGAAAGCTTTCGTTTATTTTCAACTATTTCTACATCCAAAATTGATCTCTCTCGTGGAATAGAAGGTCTGTTAGTCCCTCCTTATTCTCCATATAACGAAATACTTTCTTGTTGATTTTTTATGTTTTTCTGATTGAACTTTAATTTCTCATTTTTTACTTTTACAAGTTTTTCTAAGGGTGCCTTTTTGTTTACTTCAGCCAAGTTTTTTCTAGGTGACCTAATTTCTCAAAAGTTTGTTGTAGTTTTTTGGCTTAAGGGTATTTTTGCATCAATTTAGCTCTCAAAGTTGTTTAATTGCATCATCCTATACCCTACACCCTAAATGTAAACCCTGAGCAATAGTAAATATTTTAAACATTGATGCGATTGAGCAACTTCGAAGGCTAGATTGATGTGAAAATACCATAGGGGTGAAAATGATAAATTGGGTCTACTACAGGGGCAAAAGTGACCCTTAAGCCTAGTTTTTTTCTAATCTTAGTTATAAGAAAGAAATGGAAATAACCAATTAACCATATATGTTTTTGTTAAAATTGAATGTATATTACTAGTATTTGATCCTCTAAGATCCAGGTGTTTCATTGTGTATTTTGTGTTGTAGTTTCTTTCTCTTTCTCATGCTTATCATCTTCCAATGGGATGCTGAAGAAACATTGTGTGGTTTTTTTCCTTGGTGAAAGCCAGATTGGCTTATGGTTCTTGGTCATAGTCGAAGGATCCATTGGTGTATAATCCTTCTGGAACAAACTCTTTGATCATATTTGGCAATCAGCTGCTAGAAGCAAATGTGAAGGTCACAATCTCAATTAGAAGCTTGTCAAGGAAAACTTGAACACTCAAGTGTTTACAATAGTGATTCTCATAGTTATTTATGTTAGCAATACTTGATAATCCTAGAAATATGAGCATTTTGAGATGAATTCGTTGCATTGTTTATTGAATTTTTCTTTGTTGTACCTTTTCACAGACTGTTTGGCCTCATATACATTTAATTATGGTTAAATTGCAATTTTTGGTGGTAGGTGGGAGTTTGAATGGAGTGCTGTGGAGGAAAGTGATGATTGAGCCGCCAAATAACCAAGACTTAAAAAAGATAGTAACAGCATGGTATCCAAATTTGGAGCCCCTTGCTGAAAAGCTTGTAGGTAGGTCCAACAATGCCTGAAGAAGCTCTGCTCTTAGACTACGTTATTTGTTGCCTGCTAATCTTGTTTTTGCTTCAGAAACTTTTGAAGTGGTTAACCCTATCTATCTACACCAATCCTTGGACTTTAATCCTGGAAAACCTGTTTCCTTAAGTTCACTCAGCAAGTTCTCATTGAGGTAAGAGCTGGCACTAATAATTTAATATTGGGGATGACAGCAGCAACTGGATTTGACTCTTTTCTGCCTTCTGATTACAGGGATCTACTCAAGTGGTGTAAAAGAATTGCTGGACTGGGTTTTAGTTTTACCTCTGATGTTTTGACAGCTTTTGAATGCCTTTGTATTTATAAGGAGGTATGGTTTAGCATGGTGTCCTGTTTTCTTGGTTTTTTACGTGCTTCTGAATTTTTCTATTGGTATATTTTGCATGTTATTCTCAGCGAGTATTTTCCAATTCATGTAGGCAGTGGACGTATTTGCTAGCTTTTCAACATCTGTTGGAAACCGGTTGGCTATAATGAAAGAGATTGCGAAGAAGTGGGCGGTTCCAACTTATCAGGCAGAAACTTTGTATCCTCACGATGAACCTATAATTAAGGTGGCTATTAGATGTTGTGAGTTGTGTCATATAATTATTAGATGACAATTTGGTTCTCATATTGGGAGTTTGATTGCAGGATTTTCCTTCTGAATTTAGGATTGGACGAGTCAGGCTTCAACGAATTGAAGCAAGTGTGAGTAGCAAGCCTACTGGAATTCCGTTATTTTTGGCTTAGATTATCTTTTGCTTCCTTCACTGATTAAGGAACTTTCTCAAAAGTTCCATTAGTCAAGAAGGGGATTTTTAATGAGGCCTGTAATTCTTATCAAAAAAAATCTTTTGCTTCCTTCTAATGTTGTGATTCTTGCAGTTATATGATGAAAAGAGATCTTTTGTTAAGATTCGTAGTTCTTTGCATGTACTTGAGAGAATAGCTTGCTGCGTTCAGTATAATGAACCTGTTTTATTGGTTGGTGAAACTGGCACTGGGAAGACTACACTTGTGCAGAATCTTGCTATGAGGCTTGGGCAGAAACTTACTGTTCTGGTATGCTGACTGAGAATCTCTCTATCTAGCAAACTTATGTCATTATTATTTGAATGTAGCACACATGGGGCTGTGAATGACAGATTGGCACTTACACGTAGCACACTTATGCCATTATGTTTTTTTTCATGTTATTTTTTATTTATTTTCCAGAACTTAAGTCAGCAAAGTGATGTTGCTGATCTACTAGGAGGATTTAAGCCTATGGATGCTCGGTCTATCTGTGTTCCCCTATACAATGAATTTAAATTTCTTTTTTCAAGGGCATTTTCCATGAAGGTATTCCTAGTTTTAATATTTTCCCCCTTCTGCTATCATTTAGGTTGTCATTAACTTCTGCTACTGTTTGCTTTGTATATGTAGGGTAATGATGAATATTTTGCTCGTTTACAAGAGCTTTTGTGTAGTAAGAATTGGGAGAAGTTACTTCGTAAACTTAAGAGTGGTATTAATTTGTTCAAAAAGTTAGTGGAAGAAGAGAGGTCCGGGTCAGCAAGAAAGCGGAAGAAACCTTTAGATGTAGAAAAGAAAGTTAAAGCTTGGGAGGACTTTTCTGCTAGACTTGAAACTGCCCACAGCCAGATTGCCTCTTCTGGGATTGTATTTTCCTTTGTAGAAGGTGTCTTTGTGACTGCGCTTAGAAATGGTCAGTGGGTTTTGCTTGATGAGGTGAATTTGGCCCCTCCTGAGATTTTGCAGAGAGTTATTGGTGTTCTTGAGGGGGAGAATGGGTCACTTTGTTTAGCTGAAAGAGGTGATGTAAGTAACATTAACAGGCATCCTAATTTTCGTGTATTTGCTTGCATGAATCCTGCAACCGATGCTGGTAAGCGGGATTTGCCATATGCTTTACGGAGTAGATTTACAGAATACTTTGTTGATGATATATTGGATGACCAAGATTTGGACATATTTATTCAAAACTTTTTGGGTGACAGTGGATCAAGTAGTGAATTAGTAGAAAGAGTTAGATGCTTTTATAAAATAGCCAAGAAGGATTCTGACGAAAGGCTGCAAGATGGGGCCAATCAAAAGCCACAATACAGTTTAAGGTCTCTATACAGGGCACTAGAATTTACAAGGAAGGCAGAGAGAAAATTTGGGTTTCAGAATGCAATTTATGATGGATTCTATATGTTTTTTGTTAGTTTATTAGATAGGCCAAGTGCAAAGAAAATGAAGGAAAGGATTTTGCAGTATCTGTTAAGAGGAAGTAAACCTTCTCATCTACCTTTTCATCAGTACATAATGATCAAAGAGAGCTCCAGTTCTAATGAATTCTTGAAGAACTATGTCCTGACTAAGACTATTAAAAAGCATCTAAGAAACTTGTCACGTGCCGTTTTTATAAAAAGATATCCAGTTCTTTTACAAGGTCCAACTTCTAGTGGGAAGACTAGCCTTGTTCAGTATCTTGCTACCATCACTGGTCATGAATTTGTTAGGATAAATAATCATGAGCACACTGATCTACAGGAGTATTTAGGTACATACATAACTGATGCACATGGGAAGCTTGTATTTCAGGAGGGTGTGTTGGTTAAAGCAGTTCGGAATGGCTACTGGATCGTTTTGGATGAATTGAATTTGGCTCCAACTGATGTTCTGGAAGCGTTAAATCGTTTGCTTGACGACAACAGGGAGCTCTTTGTGCCTGAACTGCGTGAAACAATTCGAGCACATCCAAATTTTATGCTTTTTGCAACTCAAAACCCACCTACTTTCTATGGTGGACGTAAAATTCTTTCTCGAGCATTTCGCAATCGATTTGTGGAGATCCATGTTGATGAAATACCAGAAAATGAATTGAGCACAATTTTAAAGCAGAGGTGTCAGATACCTGAAAGCTATGCCAAGAAAATGGTTGAGGTTATGAAGGAGTTGCAGCTGCATCGCCAAAGTAGCAAAGTATTTGCTGGAAAACATGGATTTATAACTCCAAGGGATTTGTTCCGTTGGGCTGATCGCTTCAGAATTTCTGGGATATCTTATGAAGATTTGGCAAGAGACGGATATCATCTTCTGGCTGAGAGGCTACGGGTTGAGGATGAGAAACGTGTAGTTCAAGAAGTCTTGGAGAGACATCTCCGTGTCAAACTTGTCAAAGATGACTTATACAATCCGGTTTGTTGTCTTCTAGATCTAGATGTTTGCATATGGTTTGGTATTGTTTTATTTTATTTTGCATTGTTGTTTGCATGCTCTTTGATTCTGGTGGTGGGTTTAGCATTTATGGACTGCATGGTAATCAGGGTTTTCATGTGGTAATCAGGGTTTTCATGTAGATGCATGATGGATGCATGGTGGGCTAAGTTCCCTATTTAAATAGAATTTGCTTAATGCAATGTTCTATTTGCATGTCTTGAATTTCTAGAGGGCCATTTGTACTCTTGGTTATTTATGCTTTAAGTTATTGATTTTGAATATCCACCATGAATCGTTTCAACTTGATCCAATAAATCTTGGTTAATTATTGATCATAATGCATTGCTAAAATGTAATATTATTTTGTAACTAAGGTAGTCTTTGGCTATAATCACTAGATCTCAAGGTCTATTAGTACTTGATTACTGGAATGCAGATGACCATGCTAAGTATTTTTCTTTCAAGCTTATGCACCTGAGAATTTCTTTATTGGTTTCTATAGTGGAAGAATTTCTTTTAAAATTTCTTACTGTAATTTAATATTCACATTTAGCTTAAAAGTAATCTTGATTGGGTCAATAGTTTTCTGCTTGCAGTTTAAAAAGGCTTTAACATCTAATACACATTTTGCTATTCTTTTTTCTTCCAGGAGTTGCTTGGAGAGGAACCTGTGCCAGAGAGTTTTGGGAAGTAAGGACTCATAACCTGTTTTGTTTGATCTTGGTTCTGTCAATTTATGTTTAATTTCATTTTAATCCTTAATGGTTTCGTTCATTGCAGCGTTATATTAACTGAAAGCATGAGGAGATTGTACTTCCTTGTTAGACGTTGCTATAAGTTTCGTGAGCCTGTTCTCCTTGTTGGTGAAACTGGTGGTGGGAAGACTACAGTGTGCCAGTTACTGAGTATTGCCTTGGGGTTAAATTTACACATTTTGAATTGTCACCAGTATTCTGAAACGTCTGATTTTCTTGGGGTCAGTTTTGCTTTTTTCTCACAAGCTCCGATTATTGCTTGAGTTTTAATTTCCCTTAGAGATTTTAATGCAATGGTTTACAGGGTTTCTATCCAATTCGAGATAGATCGAGGTTGTCCTTAGAATACAAACGTTTAATTGAACAGTTGAAGCAATTGAAGGTTTTTATCCACTTACCTCAGGAGTTGGTTAGTATATTTTGGTTAAAATATTCTATTGGTTTCTTAGCTTATTTTTTATTTTCTATAAGATAACGACAAGCATCTCAAATATGTTGGGTTGCAGGATATTTCTTCAGATATTAATCATGCTTCATCAACTCTTAACCAGTTGAATGTGGTTTGTGGCAAGTACAGACAAGGGCATCTTTCAAATCCTGCCGTTGATTTACAAGATATCAATAATTTAGAGGAGGTTAAGCAGGAGCTTGATCAACTTAATCGTAAATGGCTGACAATTTTTATGTGGCAAGATGGGCCTCTTGTTCAATCTATGAAATCTGGTGACTTATTTCTTGTCGATGAAATTTCCTTGGCTGATGATAGTGTACTGGAAAGGTTGAATAGTGTCTTGGAGCCAGAAAGGAAATTGGTAAATGATTCCTGTTACTTTGCAGTGTATTTCACGTTAGCTGGTTAAAAAAAGATGAAATATACTGATGCTTTTATACTTATGTTTGTCAAACTGAACCATTTATCCTGCTGGTGTTTCCATTTCATAGAATAGTTTGGGCATCAATATTTTTGAATATGCAATTATATTAATTCTTTTAGCTATTTGCTTGGAGCATCTTGTTCTTTAGTTTCAATTGCTTCCCTTTCACTCTGTTTTGTATCTTCTGTGCAGTCTTTGGCTGAGAAAGGAGGTAATGTTCTAGAAAATATCACAGCTCATGAGAACTTTTTAGTTCTTGCAACAATGAATCCTGGTGGTGACTACGGTAAAAAGGAATTATCTCCTGCTCTTCGTAATCGGTTTACTGAGATATGGGTTCCATATGTTAGCGATTTGAGCGAGCTTAGGAGTATTGCTTCAAATAGGTATGCAATCTTTCAATAATATTTTATTGTATTGCAGATTATCCTTCTTTGAACTGACGTTATTGAGTTTTTCTAATAATATTTTATTTGTATTGCAGATTATCCTGCTTTGAGATGTCTTACATTGTCAAACCTATGGTAAACTTCTATGAGGTATGCTCTAATCTAGTTCCTTTTTTGGCTTCTCACCATGTTTAACTTTGCAGGGTTGAAGTTCTTTGCCATGTTTTCATCATAAAGCTCCCAGGAATCGTATCTCTAAATAGCTATAAGACTAAAAAATAACTTTTATGTTTGCACTCTTTCCCAACTTATAATATATAATGATATACTTCAATTACTCGATCTTTTCTATGAGTTAGGGCTGGATTATCACTTATTATGCATTTTTAAATTCTAATAATTGTGAAACCAGACTAGTTTCGTTTTTAAGTTCCTCTTTGTGCTTGTTATATTGTTGTGTTTTCACTTTTTTTTTCCTTTTTTCCACTTGAGACTGCCAATGGACGTGTGTAGAAATTAAGGATTTAGGAACAGAGATCAAAGTGATACTCTGGATTTCTTGATTGATTAGAAGGGATATACAAGCCTCATTTAAATAGGCTGAGTGGGAAAGGTTGAATATAACTACAATTACTCCTAGATAAGGTTAAGATAAAAGGATAGAGTTATAGTTAATCTAAACTACTAAATCAAATAATCTACTGCTATTTTGCACGCCAATATTCTACAATGTGATTGTAGTATTTACTTTGTGCCATGGAGTTGTTTTCTTGTCTCCTGTCATTTTTAATCATCTTGGTTGGTGATGGTCCAAAAGAACATGTCCATGGCGTTTGATATGTGTTGAATCAATCTAATTCACCGAACTGATTCATTACTTGTACCTTACAGTGGTTTAATCAATTGCAAATTGGGAGGTTCCTCACTGTCAGAGATCTTCTATCTTGGATAGCATTTGTTAATGCGTCTAAGTTGGGACCAGAGCATGCGGTTATTCATGGTGCCTTCCTTGTTTTGCTTGATGGACTAAGTTTAGGTATACTCTTCCAATATCGATTATTTATTGTAATTCCTTGTTTTAGTTGATGCTCTTGACAGTAATGGCATAGACAACTTCCCACAAAATTCTTTTTCTATATAGAATTGTGCTAACCAGCATGGTTAATATTGAATTCTCTTAGTATTTTTCTTTTCTGTTCAAAGACTTCTTAGTATTTGTTTGTTGGTATTTGTAAGTTGATTTTATATATATATATATATATATTTTTTTCTTGTGTGTGGCCAATGATCCTTGTCATTCTTTTTGTCTCTTACTATTCTTTATCTTTTTTTTTCAGGGACTGGTCTTTCTAAGAAGGATTGTAGTGAGTTGCGGGAAAGATGCTTGTCTTTTCTTTTAGAGCTGGTACAGGTAATATGGCCTTCATTTTCTTGTTATTGTTGTTTTTTGTTAAACGAAGTGTACCAATGATCTGTGGTTAGTTTGTGAGCTTTTAACATTGTTGATGACAACTGACAATGGCAGTGGTTGGCCTCAACACTACTAAGTATCATGGCATTAAATTTCATTAAATGAACTGAAACTCATGCATCTTTAATGGTAACTCTTCTTAGTAGTTAATACCAGTGTTGTTTGGATTTTGCTATTAGTGTGTCCTGTTTATTCCTTGGAGCTGTTACTTCGAATCATTGCAAGAGAAATATGTTTGCATGCATTCCCTTGTAATGAAGCACATATGTAATGTGTTACATGAATGGTGCAGGATAACTTAAGGGAAGTGTGCCTGTTTAGGTTTTATAGTTGCTGTTTGAAATTAGAGTTTTGAGGGGTTTATCCTATGTAGGATTGAATTGAGGATTCCAATTAATGTAAAGGGGTGCTTATATATGCTGAACTTGAATAAAGCTCGTCTAGTAAGGTTTTATACTGGGTTAAGGCTTGAAATTAGAGATAGATGGGATATGGCTACATTAGAAATGTGATTTGGTTGAATATAATGGAAAATTGTGACTGTACCAACAGAACTAGATGCCATCTGTGTGTTCCTTTTCTATGAAGTATCTGAACATGCAATTGGGGAGCTTTATTGTGTGTTCCTAGATCAGCCAATGTTGAGCCTGACAGCTTTGCTAAAGCTGGTATTGGCTAGTGACACAGCTTTCTATTAGGCTTTAGTTAGGATTTGGGTTGATTATTGTAAAGGGTGTGTTTTGTTTTTAAACATTATGTATCTTTCGGTTTTTAATGAATTAAGGCACTCTTTTCCTCCTTCCGCTGATTAAGGAGCACTTTGTGCTCCATTAATCATGAAGGGGGGTTTTAACGAGGCCTACCTTCTTATAAAAAAAAAGCGTTTGGGGGTTCATCCCAGGAGCTGTTATGTGGTCGATTTGGAAAATGAGGAACGATATTGTTTTTAATAATGGGAAATTGAATTTTGCCTTGTTATCCTTTCTCTCGAGGTACAGAGAGGCAGCATGGTTTTCTTCAAAATTTCCAAAATTGTTGGTCTCTTTTGATAGCCTAGTGGGGGATCTGGCGTTAGTTGATCGTGTGTTGTGTTCTGAAAAGAGGTTTTCAAAGTTAGTGAGATGGTCTCCGCCTCCTTTCGGTTTTGTTAAAGTGAATGTAGATGGTGTTATGGACAGTTTGTGGTCGAAGGGCGGCATTGGTGGGTTGATCCGAGACGAGAAAGGTGTGATCCTGGGTTCGTTCTCAGAAAGAATTGGATTCGGTCCCCCTATTATGGCAGAATTGATGGCAGTGAAGAGAGGATTGAACCTGTTTTTGGAATCGGGGATGTCGGCGAACCGAAGGCTTATTTTGGAATTCGATAATGCGGTGGCAATGGATTGGATAAAAAATCCAGCTAGCTCCACCCCGATGTTTTTGTCCATAGTTAAAGATATTGCAGCGATTGTGGTTGATAAAGGTGTCATTGTACGTCATGTGGTGAGAGCAGTTAATTAGGAAGCGGATGAATTTGCCAAACTAGTGATTGGTTAATTGGAGGGGATTTATTTGTGCTGTTGATTTTGTTTTATTGGGTTTAGTTGGCAGCTTTGGTCATTGTATTTGTTTGCATCTGGTTGAGTAATTTAGGAGTTAGTTTATGTGTAGGGTAAAAACATATGCGTGTATGTGCAATTTAGCAGAGTGTTGAGTGGGCTGCCAAAGGTTTTTAGTGGTAGTGTGTTCTTATTGTACTTGGTACTTATGCAATAAACTTCTAAGGCACTCTTTTCCTCCTTCCAATGTCCGTTGAGTCTTTGTTGCTTGACGGATATGAGGGGGTTTTTAATGAGGCATTCCTTTTTATAAAAAAAACATGCAATTGGGGTAATCAGAGAGAACAAGTACAAGGTGAAGCAAAAGAATCAATACCGAATGACAAATTGTGCAAGGAGTGAGAGAAAACAAGTACAAGCTGAAGAAAAAAGAACAAATATTAAATCACAAATTGTGCAAGAATTCGCTATTTCTCAAGAAGAGAAGAATACTTTGCTCTAGTTATAATGTATGATACAAGCAAAATGTAAAGTGGAAGCATTGCATCTATAATAGAAGTAGGGAATTTTGTTCTCACTTTTCATGTTAAATTGAAGCCATTGACCCTCCCCCAATAGTCTGTTTTGTTTAGAAGGAATTATGCATTCCATAATTATGTTTATTTCTCAATTGTTTGTTAATTTTAGAAGGAATTATACCTTTCATAATTTATGTTATATTTCTTTAGCTTTTTGAGATGCATTGGTTGCTCAAAAATGATTATTCAATATAATTCATTTAACTATTAACTGTCTATAATCCTAGTTACCAAGTCATTAACAGTGATTGCATTTTTCTTCTGCAGGTGGACAATACAAATTGGTTGCACTCAAAACTTTCGAAAATGAACAATTATGGTTGGGGTGATCTTGGAGCACCTAGAGAGGCCAATACAGATGGCATGCTACATGATGATTTCTTTGGCATTGATCCGTTTTACATTGAAAAAGGTGAATATTCATTCAATCTAAACAATACTGTTTTTTTTATAAAAATTATTATTACTATTATTTTTCTAATTCATCAAAACATTTTACTTGCAATGGCTTTTATTTAGCTGTAAAGTTCTCATTTAGAATGAGTTATGTGACATTATGGCTGCTTAATATGTTATATAACACCACTATATGACCTTTTATCCTGCTTCTCCTATGTACCAAGGGCTTATCCAACTTGTTTGTCTCTAGGTTCTAAAAAGACTGAGGCGGGAGGATTGAGTTTTTGGCACCTACTACACGTAAAAATGCTTTACGAGTGTTGCGGGCCATGCAGCTTTCGAAGCCAGGCATGTCTCTTTTTTTTTTGATAGAAAATATGAGGAGGCCTCATTTTAACCCCTTCATGACCTTCATGTTACAGCAGTAACCTGAAGGACATTGGAAGGAGGAAAAGAGTGCCTCTGAAATTTATTAGCAGAACAATATTGCAAAGCCTAATCCAAACATCCTCCACTCACAACAAACAACTGAAAACAAAAACACCCTGAAATGAAACATACAACTCACAGCAACACAAACCACCCAGACATACAACCTGAAGGCATGTCTCTCTTAGCTTTCAATTCCCATGTTAATACCATCTTTCGATTCATATTCAGGCATGAGTAACATAGGCTTTTGTTATTTTGGCTCCCTGATATCTTCTTTACTTGTCTGTTAATGCTGTTTCTGTTCTTTTCAGTTTTATTGGAAGGTAGCCCAGGTGTTGGGAAAACAAGCTTGATAGTCGCATTAGGAAAATTTTCGGGGCATCAAGTTGTTCGCATAAATTTATCTGAGCAGGTTGGTAATTTTCTTATTATTTTCAATGTTTTTATTTCTTACTCTTTGATGCATTCAAGTAGTTCTAATTGTGCATCTGGGGCAGACTGACATGATGGATTTGCTTGGGTCTGACTTGCCTATTGAGAGTGATGAAGGGATGAAGTTTGCTTGGTCTGATGGAATTTTATTGCAGGTAATGCATCTTTGAGGTTTAAGCTTTTCTATTTTTTATTATATATGGAAGTGCCTAATATCCCTTTGCTTGTGTAGGCTTTGAAGGAGGGTTGTTGGGTGTTGTTGGATGAACTTAATCTTGCTCCACAATCTGTCTTAGAGGTATGATTCTCCAGCTTTATTTACAGTAGAGTTGTTTATTTAAATAGTCAGCTCCTGCAAGTCCTTCTGGCAAAAGAAAACTGTTAATTTTATTCTTCTTGTCCATTAGGGTTTAAATGCAATTTTGGATCATCGAGCCGAGGTCTTTATTCCAGAACTCAGTCGTACTTTTAGGTGCCCGGCATCTTTCCGTGTTTTTGCTTGTCAGAACCCTTCTTCTCAAGGTGGTGGCAGGAAAGGCCTACCGAAGTCTTTTCTTAATCGTTTCACTAAGGTTGGTTGATCTGCTTCCACTGTTCCAAATGTACGAGTAACATATGCCTGGTTGATAATGCTGAACTTACTGCTTAACGTTCTGCCGTTTCAGGTATATATTGACGAGCTAGTTGAGGAGGACTACCATTTCATCTGCAGCTCTCTGTATCCATCAGTTCCAAGTTCTGTTCTCTCAAATTTGATCTCATTCAATGGAAGGTTACATGAGGACACAATGTTGTACCACAAGTTTGGTCAGAATGGATCACCTTGGGAGTTTAATCTGCGTGATGTGCTTCGGTCGTGCCAGATCCTACAAGGTATAATTTGTATTATGCTATTTTTGTTTCAATAGTTAATTTTCAACATGGAAGCTGCTCGTGTAAAATAATTTTTAATAATTTTAGGTGAACCAGTTAGTAGCTTTGTCAATCTCATCTATGTTCAAAGAATGCGTACTGCAGCTGACCGCAGACAAGTTATGAAGCTGTATGAACAGATTTTTGGGGTTAAACCATCTATAAATCCTTACCCGAGAGTGCAGCTCAATCCTGATTACTTGATTGTTGGGAGTGCTGCTATTAAAAGAAAATTTTCTCAGCCATCCGGAAGTTTTAGTCAGCTGAAAGTTCTGCCCAGTGTTCGTTGCAATCTAGAAGCTGCTGCACATTGTGTACAACGAGGATGGTTGTGTATCTTGATTGGCCCACCATCTTCTGGAAAAACTTCATTGATAAGGTTGCTGGCTCAACTTAGTGGCAACGTACTACATGAATTGAATCTGTCATCAGCAACTGACATTTCTGAACTGCTTGGATGTTTTGAGCAATATAATGCTCTTCGCGATTTTCGCTTGGTTGTTTCTCAAGTTGGTCATTTTGTTAATGAGTATAGCAGTTTGGTATTGGAGGCCTCAATGGATACATTCTTGCGAGAAAGAAAGGATTTGATTGCTGGATGGCTTGCCCTTTTATCTGATGTTAATACTGGCTTAATGCCAAGTTCCTCTTTTATGTGCTCAGAGAATTGGAATGTCATTTCCAAGTCTCTTTCTTCATTGGTGGAAATAATTGAACAGCTAAAGTTCGATTTGGAGAAAAATGTTTTGCCTGTATCCTGGTCAAGCAAGGATCTGGAAAGAACCATGAAGACCATAATAAAATTGCAAGATCACAAGAAAAAGCCATATTCTGTTAAGTTTGAATGGGTTATGGGATTGTTGATAAAGGCTATAGAGAATGGAGAATGGATAGTTCTTGAGAATGCAAATCTTTGTAATCCTACGGTATGTAGATTCTGCTTCACGATCTCCAAAAATCTTGTAATATTTGTGTTACTGTGCTGTTCATTAGCTAATGGGTTTCCAATTTTTTTGGTCAGGTTCTTGATAGAATAAACTCTTTGGTTGAACCAGACGGAACAATTACTGTCAACGAGTGTGGGTTTGTTGATGGAAAACCTGTAGTCCTTCATCCCCACTCCAATTTTCGAATGTTTCTCACTGTAAACCCAAGCTTCGGTGAAGTATCTCGAGCGATGCGAAACAGAGGTGTTGAAATATTCATGATGGATCCGTATTGGATTTTTGAGGAAGGAAGTGGATACAATTCAGAGGAGCTAGCAATGGAAGATGTGAAGAGTTATCTTGTTCTTGCTGGCATTCCTGGGGTTAAGTTGGTTGACTCAATGGCCAAAGCACATACCTATGCTAGGGTTGAAGGTATATCTCTTAATGTGCGAATCACTTATCTTGAGCTTGCAAGGTGGGTTCAGTTATTTCAGCATCTTCTCATGAATGGGAATCAGCTGCTGTGGAGCCTACAAATAAGTTGGGAGCATACCTATCTTTCATCTTTCGGCGAGATCGAAGGGGTGAATCGTCATCATGCAAAGAATGCTTACTTGTCTGTGACTGAATTGCATACACCTATTTGTTACCGGAGTCTGCTCTTTCTCTGCCTGGAGGATGGCCAATGCCATTGACATTGAGGATCTTGCGTGGTATTCAAGAGAGGCCTGTGTCAAGCTGAACTGCTCATATCTAGAGTTCTTGGGAGCACACTATGCATCACATAAACTTGCAGTCAGCTGTGGTATCTGCCCTGTTGAGGACGTGCTACATAGGTGTGGATGCAAGGGAACCTATCTATTGGACTTGAAGTTACATAGGAGACTCCATCCTCATGTTTCTAAAAGAGTGACCTCAGATTCTGATGACAAAATGGAATTGAACTTAAATGTTACAAATAAGATGATGTTGTTTGCTGCAAACTGGGCAATTGAACAGGCAACAGAAGATGATTTCCAGCTGTATCTTCAGTGGTTTAGCTGGTTTAGTTTTCAATTGGAGTCATATGGTCAGTTTTTCAAATATTTTTTAACTTCGCTTGAACAGAAAGGAGGCATCCGATTTGGACCTATATAATTCGCTGCCGTCAAGAACTTATATCACTTAATCAAGTAGATACAGGCTTACATCCAACTGCCATGCTTTCTCTGGAATTAGTTAATTTAACGTCATCAAATCATTTGTCAGATACTTCAAGTAAACTCTTGTCTGATGCTATTCGCTGTGTGGGCCTACTCAGACTTAGTTCTCAACAGTGGAATGCTGAAAGTAGGCATAAATACACAAATGAGTCACGTTGTTTCGTACCTTTTCTGGAAGCGCTCCGCATTTTGGAGGAGGAAATCTTAAATACGCTTGTCGGGTCTCCTTCCTTGATTTATTATACGAGTTATACACCAATCTACTTGAAGATCACATACTCTTTTGGAAATGTCTTATCTCATGGCAACTTGAGGGATTGTTGATCTCTTATCGGTCATTGTTAAAAGATGCTGGAAAGCTGAAAAAATTTGCCCTTCCGCCGTTGAGAATATGCTGGTGAGCTTACTGAACAATTTGTAATTTGTAATTTTTCCTCATTTATTATTTTCATTCTTTAAGTATAAAATTTTCTACCTTTTTACGTTTGATGTAACTGGGGTAAATCATTTTGGCATCGTAGGTAACCAAGAATTTTGCTGAAAATTTGTCATTGTGTTTTAAATCGGAGAAATCACTGCTATGGGTTCATGGTGGTCACCCAATTCTGCCCTCATCTCCCAAATTATATCATCAACAGCATCAGCTTTTACAGTTCTGTGATTTTGTTTGGCCTACAAAGGGAAAATCATTCAAGCAGGGTATGCTTCCTATGCTGGTATCTTTGTGGAAATTCCTTTTCTTGTTTTACCGTAACTTGGGTTTGTGATTTGTTGGACTTATCTGATATGTGACAGTGAACGAGATTCCAATTGATTTTGTAGTATCTTTTGATCCTGAACTTCGGTTCATTGCATTGGAAGGTACAGTTGGAAACCTTATCCTTTGTTTTCCTTATTTTGAATTCTATTGTTGTTACATGTTTGCATTGAGATAAGTTTTGAGTTGTCTAGTATGCTAATTGCATACCTCTAACATCATGCTTATTTACGAAATAAGAACTCAAGTACACCTTGAAATAGTATTTTTATGTTGTTTGGGATACACCTAGTCAAGACTTAAATTTTTCTCTTTGTTGCATTATTTCAACTTAGCAACAAAGGTACATACTAAAGTCCTAAACTTCAGTGTTATGTTTTTTTTATAGAAGTTGGAGGTCTCATTAAAAACTCCCTTCGTATTCATTCACATACTAAAATTATGTTAACAAACATTGGAAGGAAGAAAAGAGTACCTCAAATTTTATTGATAATATTACTGATACAAAAGACACCACAGAGTAACCTCACATGTTGATGTACACCTTACAACAAAGACCTTAACTTCAAATGACCTCATCCAAAGCCACAGTCTAATCACCTTACTCCTAATTACACCACCAGCATAGGACTAAAACATCGCAACAGAACATGATACAAATTAAAAGCAACTCTACAACCGTAAAGACTAAAACAAAATCACAATTGAAGAGACAAGATCATGAGACTCGTCTTCTTCAGGAGCCCAAGAGTTTGGTTTGAATGAAGGCTCTATCTCATGCACCATGACCTTGAAGAAGTTGTCACCAACCTTCAATTCCACCAACGCATCAATTCTCGAATCAGCCTTTGTGAGGACTTGAATTTTTGCCCGATCAAAGGTTGATGGAGAATGATAACTTTCGTCGATAGCTAGTAATAAACCCCACTTCTCAACAATGTTCTTGAAAGTATCCCAATTCCATGCGTGAAAAGGAACACCCTCGCAAACTAACCATACTCGACGACACTCCATTACCAAACTTTCTGACCAAGCTTCGACTATGGAGAACCACTATGCGAGAATCTTTGATTTATCGTTCTCCACACTTCTCAATGAAACATTGTCTTCGAAAATCATTAAAATCGCATTACCAGCAGCTCTCATTAAGGTGAAGCCAGTGAGGCCCTTCGTTTGCATTTGTCTAGCGAGATGACCAATTTTGACAAAGTCCTTGCACCACCCCACTAGACAAGTGCTCAACACCTGAAGTTTTTCTTTATCTATAACACCTTCAACTTTATAAAGATTCTTCCTCGAATCATCTTCCCACCCGGACTTGCGAAGAACACTTGTCGAGGACTTCCTCCAATAGGAATGTCGAGGTTTGAATTTAACGAAAGAAACACCAATTTTGCTGCCGTTGATACGAGAGCCATTCATATTTGAGATCGCTCTCCTTGCTTCTTCAATTGTAGTATAGCGAACAAAACCAAAGCGAACCCCATTCAAATTTCTTTTTTTAGGAATGAAGGCATCCATAACTCGACCGTGTGTACCAAATAAATATCCAAGTCTCTTCCAATGGATCTTCTCCGGAAGGTTCTCAATGAATAATGAGACACATCCATTACTATACCCATTCCTACCGTTTATATGACCTTCATTCTGCCTGTTTTGAAATCCGTTTCTTCTCCGTCTCGCTACTTCAGAAGATTTTTCGTTGGAATACCCCTTCTTGATTCCATGGTGATCCACTTCAGCAGCAGAAAGAACGGGTGTTGCCTCCACTAAAGAAAGCTTCTCCATCCTATAATTCCCACCTTGTGAAGGAGACATACCACTGTCATCAATCCTAACCACAGGAGGTTGACAGTCTAATGTTCCTTTTCCAAGGAATTGGTTGATAGAGGACGTTCACCCGACCTCGCAGAAATTTCTCTTAAGTTTTACTGATGGCTTTCTTTCTATGGATCTATTTCTAGTGGGTTAAGTCTTGATTTTTTAAGGCTTTGGTTAATTAGGTGAAGTGTTGATTCTATTTCCAGTCTGTTGGAATAACACAAACAGAATGATAATGTTTACCCAAAAACCACAGCCAGAATTACTTAATTCTTTAATTGTACTGTGGTAGTTCACCACAAGCCCTACATAGGCATACTTGCCCAGTTGTGTCCTCTTTTATGTTGCATATCCAATCTGGTTGCATCTTACGTGACTTTGAAATGTAATCTTTATATGGTGTATATGTAGAATTTTTCTGTTCAGCAGTTAAATTTTACTTTTTTATGAATCTCACTTTCTGTTCTGTTTCCTTTTACTTTTCCGTTCTCTTCTCTATTTTTTTTTAGGTATTTGCATGTTATCCCATATTATGGGTAAATGTGATGAAGATGAAATCCATGTTTCTCATCAAATGGAGGAGGTGTATCAGGTGGTTTCCTGTTCATATTTAATATTTTATTTCCTTATTTTGAATTTTCAGGCCCAAAAATATTATTTATTCTAGACATTTATTGGCATTGCTGACACTTGAGTACATGAACTTGTATCCAGATGCTTTTGAAAAGGTTGGAACATGAGAAATGCAAATTGTTGAGCAAATACAGGCCTGATGATGCTATTCTTGGGACAAAATCAGCTACATGTGTTTTTGGATCTGAGATGATGTGCTCAAGGTCTGGTTTAGGCAGTTGGATGGATATACATCCGGTAGTTGACTCTGCTAGTTGTTTCCTAGATATGGAGCTACTACAAGAGCTATCGTTGCTCACTTTGGTCGATAGTGAGTTGCTGAAACAAGTAAGCTGACAACTTTTGCTTTGCTCCATATTCTTTCCTTGTTGAATAATAAGAAGTTTTTGCTTTACCATTTTTTTAAAGAGCATGAAGTGGCACACCTAACTCTAGTCTTAATGGCAGAAGGGTTTGGTTGATCTGTCAAGCTCTCTGGAATCTGGTTTGAAGTATTCACTGACTTATTCAACAAGGCCTCCACAATATTTTGAACCGCATCAAAAACTTCTATGGTTAATTGATGCATGGACATCGGTGGATGCAGGTCAGTATGATTTTCTCTCGGTCTTTGTATGTGCCTCTTATCAGGAAGCTTAATGTTCTCTATCCTTTATGTTTATAGTGCATGCAAAAGTTTCTAGTTTTGTACTAGAGATGTGGTTTTGGTGGCATTCGTTATTGTGGAGCCAATGTGCTGCTGATGTCATGGTATGTCTACCAAAGCTCTGTGCTTTCATTTCAAAGATATGTTGCAAATTTCTGATTTGCTTCTTCCCATTGCAGAGTTTCTCACTAATTGATGGTTATCATGTTCCACTACCAATGCACTTATTCGGCCTCTGAGAACAGCTACCATTGCCGGTATATTGTAAGATACTTAGTTTCACTTTCAACATGTTTAAAATTTTTATAATATGTGTATGGGATGGTGCCCGGAAGATTTCTTCATGATTCAATCTTTTGATCTAAAATATAAACACTTGGTTGAAACTTTTCTCTTCTCTTTATACCCTTTGCCTATGTTCTCTCCATTTTTGCAATTTCCATTGTTATGATTTGTGGATATATTTGTATATAGATGTTTTTGACTGATTATGGTATTTTGCATAGTGAAAATGTCCTTTTTAATCTACTCTAGAAAGTGGCATTCATTTATAAGCAAATTGCTGTCTGCTTACTTTCCATAAGTTTAGAATCAAAAGTAATCTTGAAGATTGTTCCATTGACTTCCGTTATTACTTTTTTTGCCTCTAAACTTAGGCGAAGTACACATGATATCAAGGATTTCTCCATGCGTTGTATGAAGCTTAAGGTTTCTTCATGTGTTCTGTTGCAAGTTCCTTCCCCAAGGACCGAGACACGTAGTTTTCTTTTCTCTACTGCCCGCTCTCTTTTCCAACAGGTAGCTTATTTATGTCTAATTTCACATTTTTTCTTTGATATCAACTTGAATGCTCAAAATTTGTTGTCTTAACCTTCCAGATTATTTATTCACATAAAAATCTTTTGACACGGAGAAGTATACTGCCATCAAGTCTATTCTCTGTTCACCTTTGAACAACGTAACGGTATGGTTTTTCTTCATGAAACACATTTACACCTGTGGTTAAGTGCTTCTCCATTTTCTATTTTCACACTTAACAAAAGTTCAATTAAACTATGCATACCTAGATGTGACATTTTCAATTTCGTACTTATTAATTATATCACACTTTTCATTTTTGAGTTCTGCATCTTCTTTTATTGGCAGGAAGAAACTTTAGGGCATGTTATCTCACTCATTGCTTCATCAAGTCATCAAAGTTTGAAGTCGTTGATTGCTTTGCACATTGAACCACTGCTCAAAACACTATACTTTAATTGCTCTTCCACTGGTGATCAGTCATTGCTTACTTCTAAGTTCAATTGTTCTGAAAGTAGTCATTTGGATTAACTCTGAGCTCCTTTTTTATAGAATCATACTTGGATCTTGCTACTGCTTGGATACATATTGGAGGATTACGTTTTCATCTCTTGCTTCAAAGTGACAGTCTGGATCCTACCAGAAAATATTCATGGAGATTATCCCATTTAGAAGAAAAGATTGCTTCTACTAAACTCGAGATGAAGGTAGGATTGATCAATTCAGGCATTCATAAAGAAATGAAATCATTACTCGTACCCTTTTACCGTAGGTTTTTTTTATAAGAAAAAGGCCTCGTTAAAAACCCCCTTCATAACCGTCAAGCTACACAGGTATCTTGACGGACATTGGAAACAGGAAAAGAGTGCCCACATGTTATTTATAGTACATAGAGTACAACCTGGGTAAAAGACCCCCTTTATTACAACCTTCCCCACAAAACAACACCTCTCCCCTCAACACACAACCTACACTTCAAAAAAAAAAACACCCTAACCCGATTTCCGCCTTAGCTAAACGATCTGCTTCCCAATTAATACTTCTCTGAACATACCTTATGAACACATTAAAATCCAACACGCTCTTTGCAATTTCCTTAACCAGATTACCATATACTTCTCTGAACATGCCTTATGAACACATTATGAACCATCTTAGCTTTTGATATTCCTCGATTTTTTTAGATTCTCCTTTTTCTTCTAAGCTTCTATCATTTTAAACTTTTAAACATCAGTGTTAACGAAATGTTTTAAAATTGGGGTGGGGGGAGACCCCAATTTCGGTTCAGATAAAATGAGGTTTATTGGAAATGCTGAATATTAATATTTTCTGGAAGTTGTTTGTCTGTGGCTTAACTCTTATTTTTTATAGGTGCGGCAAGAATGTAATCATTTGGCAGGATGGTCTTCATCAGAAGAAACTGATAGCAGAATATCACAAGCATTAGAAAAGCTTGAAATTGAACGTAGAAAACTGCTAAGGAAGGTCTGAAAACCTCTCTTTTCTTCTCTTGAATCTTTATTTATTTGTTCTTTCCCATTTGTTCATTTGTGAAATTTTTGTTTTTATTCAGATTGTTTACCGCCCTCATCCTGCAAAATTCAAAGCGCTAAGAAAAGAATGTGATGAGTTTCTTGTACTTGTTAATTCTTCAATGTGTTTGGTCAATAATACTGAAGGCATGGAGTTGCAAGAAATTTTTGACAAAGCATGCAACTGGCAGGTTGAATTTTTAGACAGTTCCAAATGCATGATGAAAGTAAGGTAGATTTGGCTATGCTTATTCAATTCTTTTCTGATTGATTTTTCCAGGAGACAACCAGCAGTTTCATTGATCGTTTGTCAAATGAATATTCTGAGTACTACGATGTAGCCCAGCCCATTCAAGTGGCTGTATATGAAATGAAGTTGGGAGTATCTCTTGTTTTGTCGAGTGTTTTGCAGAAAAAATTTCTTGACAAAATCCAGGAGGGCAATATGGATAGAGTTCTGGTGATGTATCCATTTGTTTGTTCTTTGTTTTCTAAGTTCTTGTTTGTAGATTTTGTCTATTAGCTTGTGGCTGACTTGATGTTCGTTGCAGGATCTGATTTCTCATTTGTGAGATTCCCTAGGGGGTGCCCTTTTGAATTAGTTTCTATCAATGACAAGAGGAGGCTGCCAATGTTTTCTTCCTTTGACATGCCTTGTATTACGAATTTCTCTGAAAGGGAGTTGAGCTTACTGGAAAAGTTGATTACCATTTCCAGTGATGTCGACACTGAAAAAGTACTTGTGCTTAATGTATTGCCTCATTTTAGTGATATTATTTCATCTTTTACCTTGAATTATGCCTGATACGGTTTCATATTTGAAATAGGGATCTGTTTTGCAATTAAAAGCTGCTCTATATAACAATGTTCTTGTCCGTACTGCACATTCGGTGGCTACTGCAAAATTGATGGATAATGCATCCTTTAGGGTAAGTTCTTTGGTTGATCATTTGCACCAGTAATTTATGTTAGTCTGATGCTTCATCACGTACTGTCATTCAGCTTTTGGACAAAATCTTCTCTGGAGTCGCAAGCATTTGGATGTGTATGAAAATTCAAGGGAAAAATCAAGAAGAACTTGATGGTCGATCTTTTACGTTCAGGCCTCGTGCCTGTAGGATTGAAAATGTAATGGAAGTGGATATATCAGCTCTAGGCAAGCTGCTTTCGAGTGACAACTTCATTGAATGGCAAGAGTTGCTGTCTGACGCAGAATCCACTGAAATGGCAAGACCCTTACACTCTTATACAGCATCTTTTTGCTGTAGTTGTGGGGTTTTTATTTTGTCTTTTATCTTATAAATATGTTACTGGCCTTTTGATTCAGATGGAAGAGGGAGAGAAAAATGAAAATTTACAGGACGAATGGAGCTTAATGGAAGAATCTATTCTTATCAACATGATTCATATGCACAATCAATTGTTTGGATCCAGTGATCTTGTACTCACTGTAAGTTGTCCCTGAGAGTGTCCTGAAATACAGTAGTGTCAGAAATGACTTGTTTAGTTCATATTAAATGTTCCAACGTGCAATTAATCCTTTAAAAGTGATGGTAAAAATTTTCAAATTATGTTTAGTAGAAGGGTTTACTTTTTTTTTGTTTGTAATCTATTACATTGATTTCCTTGCATTTCTTTCTTAAAATTGGATATGCGCCTGTAATTTTCTAGTTGTATAAGTGGGATGTTCATAATGATTTTCTTCCCTGTTAACTACGTCAGTGCGTTTTTGACCTTTTAGTTTATTTTTAGTTTTTTTATGAACTTTATTCCATGTACCTCTATATTCTTGTCCAGCCTGGATCTCTTCAAATTACTGATGTGGACAGATTGCATTCCTTCATGGGTTCTTACACTTTGGGAGTTGGAATGATCAAAGGTGTTCAAAATTCTGTTTTACAGTCAATAGTTCTTTTCTCTAGAGAAAAACAAACCTCATGTTGTTCCTCATTTACAGGTTTTGGAGGTCTATTTTCTTCGGCTTTGGATGCCAAACTTGTTCCAGAGCATCTACTTCGACTGTGGTGTGAGTATGAGCAGAAGTTTCCTTTTGCTCATAAAGCAGCTTGCAAATATAACTTTTACAAGGTTTTTACTACATCTCATTAATATGACATTAGTTTTTTATTCTTCTTGCTTTTATCTTAATGTTTTTTCATTTGTATTTATTTATTTTTTGTTTTTTCACCTAGGATTCAAATACCAACATAATGGCCAAAATGGTGGATTTGCTCATCACGCTTAAGCATCGAGTTCTGACTCTTCTAAGTGAATGGGAAGATCACCCTGGTCTCCAGAAAGTCTTAGATGTGATTAAAATGCTTTTGGCTCTTCCTCTGTGCACCCCTCTGGCTAAGGTTGGAGAAATAGTCATTGCTTTGCTGGTTTCTTTAATCTTCTAAAATGTTTCCAATTGCATGTTTGTGGCATTTATTATAAATAAGGTGACAGGTTGGATGTGTGGTTAGTGGTGGGACTTTCTAAATTTGATAAACGTTGCTTGTAAACTTTAGTATCTCCATTTGATGGCTGAATTCATCTTGTTGCTTGTGAAGGCACTTTCAGGATTGCAATTCCTGCTTAACAGGACTCGTATGCTATTGGAGAATGGATCAAAATTCTCTCTCTCTGGTATGTGTTTTATGTGCAAGTCTTAGAATTTTTTTGTTATGCCCGTGATGTGTTTACCATTTCCTTTGTTTTTTACTGGGTAGAACAACTTGAACCTCTTATTTCTCTGGTGTGCTCATGGCAAAAAATGGAGTTCGACTCGTGGCCAGTGTTGTTCGATGAGGTGGACGACCAGTATGATGTCAATGCTGCTAAGGTATAAAGTGGATTTCTTCTGTATGTGTGGACTAAAAATAAAGTCGATTGAGAGACACACTAATAGACATGACCAATCCCCTTTTCCCTCCTGCATAAAAAAGATAACCTAGTGCCTGTTGCGGTAATAGTTCTGGATGTTTTTACCATTCATTTGACGAAAATTGAAGCCAATTAATTTTCTAGTATATAGTCTGATGATTTACAATACCTTATTTATGTTCAAAACGTTGAAGGGTAGTTAACCCTGTTTGATATGGTATCCAGGCTCCCAACATCATGTGGAATCTTCCTTTCTCATGTTTTCATTTATTTATTTTCAGTTAATATATGTGTGTGATAATTTTTACTGCAGTTATGGTTTCCACTTTACTCAGTTCTTCATCCAAAGCATTCTTCTGATACTGCTGGACATGATCAGTCTACAATTGCAAGGCATGTTTTAACTTTTATTTACTTAAGTTTTCTTTTTGCAAGAGCTGGTGTTTAACAGATGTAGGGTTTGCAGTTTGGAGGAGTTCATTCAAACATCAAGCATTGGTGAATTCAGGAAACGTCTTCAACTTCTTTTTGCATTCTTGGGGCAAATAGTTAGTGGTAGAAGTCTTGGAATTTATTCTAGGTTAGTTACAGTGATTGAATACCTTAGCTATTTTCTTTATTTTGCATTTGCTTTGATTCGTTTCATATTGGTTAATATTAATAACATATTTGGATGATTGATGACATTGGTATATAATTTCATTATCTTTTGCTTCTTTTAGTGGCATTTCCATCATTATTGGACCAAGTTGCAATATGTAGCTTTTCAATTTTGAGCTCTACGATATATTCTTATAGCTAGCATTTTGTTTCACAACAATGCAGTCCTTGGCAAGATGAAAATATCAAAATTTTGTACAACATATTTGGCTTCTATGTGCAATTTTTACCAATGTGAGTTCTTTTATTTCCATCCATAATATCTGAACCATGTTCAAGGTTTCGTTGCTCATCAAATTTGTACCTTTCTTAGTGTAATGGAGTTCATAGAAACTAATAGGAAAAAAATAGAGACTGAATTGAAAGATCTTCTGAAATTGTGTCGGTGGGACCGTTTTGAGAGTCAATCGTCCTTTGACAACTTGAAAAAGCCTCGGCAGAAGATCCAGAAACTAATACAGAAGTACAGTGTAAGTTGTATCCCCTTGGCAGTTGTCGAGGTTTTTCTTTCAGTGCCCTTGTTCTAGGCTTAAATAACTGTTTTTGGAGACAAACATTATCTGTTGCTTTTAATTTGATGGACAGGATATGCTGCAGCAGCCTGTTATGCTTATTCTCAGTGAAGAGGTGGGGCAGAAAGGATTGAAAATTGTTTCGATGCAAAGTCCAAAGCCAAATGATACTGCTGAGAGCACTAGAATTTTAAATTCTGTTTTAAATCTGGCACAGTTCAATGATGAAAACAGGTTCACTTGCTTGTACAATTTTCCGTTTTGTCTCTGTGTATACATCTATTTGTGCTTCAAGATAATTTTCTTATCATTGAGATGATTTCTTTGATCTAGGTCTATGTGGTATACCAACTGGGGCAAGAAAGTAAATGACACAATTCAAAACTTGCACCTTGAAAAGATAACAACTGAATTACATTTTGTTAATTCTGAAGGTTTAGTTCTTTTCACTGACAGTCCTTTCGTTTAAAATTTATTTTAAAAGACAATGCTTAGAGTCTTTTTATAAAAGAATAATTATTACAAGGGAAACTTTGTCAGAGGAAACCCTAAAGAATTTAGATTTTTTGCAGACATAGCAGGTGTCATCAGGCAATTCCCCTTTTTTCAGTTCATGTGCTTATCAAACCAGGATCAGTGGAATGATGTGTGGCACACACTTGAAAAAATAGGTAGAGTGACTATGGATTGTGGTGACCTTTGGATGGATGTTAACAGAAATCAAAGGAAGAAGAGGGCCCTGTCTGAGCTTCTAAAGCTGTTAGAAAGCAGCGGGTTACATCGACACAAGTTTGAAATTATGGAGGTAATAGATGCTTGATTACACTTTTTTTTTTTTGTGCATTAAATTTGGTGATGCATCCTAATTGTTTGTGCTGGCATTTGGTAGATATCCAATCCTTCAAGCTGGTTATTCCTTCAGCCATCGTATGATGCAAAGCACTTGTTAATGGAACGAACTAGGCTGCCAAATGGAGTTGCTGATGTTTCTCATGTGGAAAAATGTTTGCCCAAGGAAAATCTGGATGCTGAATGGAGAACTGCTAATGAGTTTTACTTCAAAAGCTTGGCTGCAGTGCAGGTTCTTCAACAAATTCGCCTGAAACATCATCAAGATTTTACATCTGAGCAGGTAGAATTTGTATTTGTAAATGCAACTTGGTAAAAACTGGTTCTTTTTCAAGCTTGTTTATAGCTTAGTTAGTTTGTTTTTACCTGAAGGTTAAGTTTTGAGCTACAATGGAAAGCAGGATCCATAATAGCATTATTAATTTTTCTTTGTTTTAATTTATGCAGGTTAGCCGGTCAGTTTCTTATCTTAGCCATCTCATAGTTATACAACAAATGCAAAGAGAAGCTGCCTATCATTTTGCTAGACAATTAAAGACCTTGCGCAAATATACCACTGCCCTGGAAAGTTCATTTTCACGTTGCGAGGACATTTTTGAAAAAACAAATTGTGGTTGTGTTTTTTCCAAAAGTCAACATGCCACCTTTAACTGTATGTGGCAACAGAAGGTAATATAAAATATTGTTTTGTTTGTCTTGCTTTTCCTATTTTCTGTAAAGCTTCTTCTAAGTCCTATAGTTGGTTATATTGCAGAAACTTCTCAAAAATAGAGTTTGTTTTTGCTTGTTCTATTTTCTGTAATGCTTCTGCTAAATCCCATGGTTGGTAATATTGCAGCAACTGTTTGATAATCTGCAAGCAATGTTGGTTGAAGAATCTCTGTTGCTCAAAACTGTTGAATGCGCCCGTTGGAACTCTTGCCAAAATGTCAAAGTTGTAGCAAACAGGATCCTTGGTGTCGTTGAAGAATTTATTCCAATTTTAAAGAAATCCAAGGTAAAAAAACTTTTTAAATAACAATATTGACTTTTTTCACTATGGTTCTCTTATCTAATTAATGTTCTATCTATCACAGGAATCATTAGACAATTACTTTACTTCTTGTGATGGATCCATAATCACGTTGGGTGGTGTCTCTCATCCTTTTGTGATTTCGCAACAGATGGAACAGTTGGTGCTTTATAACTTCCAAGTTCTTCAGAAGTTTGAGGAGAAGATTTTCGTTTTTGTCGAGGGAGGATTTGAGAAAAATTCAATTATAAAATCTGTGCTCAGTCATTTTGATGAAATATTCAGCAAGGTATCTTCTATTTCTGTAAACATACATTGGTCATATATGATGGCAAAGTATTTCTGTACATTTGACTCCATCAGTCAATGTATTTTAGTCTCAATATAGTCCAATGCATTCTGTGTATGGCTGGTGTATTTAGAGGTTACTTTAGTGAATCTTTGTTCTTTTGCCAGGGAAAATTGATTGCAGAAGAGTTCAGGGTTGCTTTTGATAAGGAAGATGAACACAAAAATGTTCATGAGCTAGCTGATTCTTGTGAAAAATTCCCTGAACTTGAAGCACAGTTTGGTGATGCCTTCAATAAAACAATTACACATGTTATGGATGTTTTGCAAAAGTTAGGTTCATTGGGTAATCCTGTTTCTCAACCGGAAGCACTGCCATCAGGGAGTATTACAGCATGGGAGTCCCTATTTAAATCTGTAAATTTGAGAGTGGATGAACTATGTGATAAGCTTCTTGAAACAATTCAGTTTGCGGTAAAATCTTTATTTATTCTTCTCCAAATGTTTCCTAAAGATAGTGTTATATATATTTTTTGTTGTTTGTTTTTTCACCCCCTTCTGATTTAGTTACGTTGGTGGCAGGAGAATCTGGTAAATCATTCTGGCAAGAAGACTTCCTGTCTCTCTTTGCATTGTGGAACACTATTACAGTGCATACATGCCTTGCTGGACCTAATATTGAGCTTTAGTGACAGTTTCCTCGAAGATTCCTTGGTTATGAATAAAACAGTAAGTTGGTTCATTATGGATTCTTCCAACATACTTTCTGTTGTTTGTTTTTCCCCCTGCTCACAGTTTGTATTTTATGCTTTCTGTTCTTGGATTCCTCCCCTAATAAATGTTTTATAGAAACATTGTGCTCATGGAAACTAGCCATTTACTTGGAGAGAGTTCCAAGGAGGTATAGGAATTTGTATTGTATATGGTGGTACCCGATTGAAATAGTTTCACACATTGTTTTTGATGAAGACATTTTTATTTGTCGAATTTAGTGTGTTATTTAGTACATTCTTTTCGAGATTAGAAAAGTGGCAATAGGTGCCCTAGCTGGATATTTATAATACTTGATATTTATTCTTCTGTGCAGGTTTCTGTACTTACTCATGGACTTGCAAATATTTTTGCTGCATTGTATGCCAAAGGATTTGGTGTTTCACCAAAAGACCAGGAAGATGATACCCATGATGATATGACTAAAGATGCCAGTGGAACAGGTATGGGGGAAGGTGCTGGGGTAAAAGATGTCAGCGATCAGATAGAAGATGAGATCAGCTGCTTGGGGCATCTGAAAAGGTATGGTGGTTTATTAAATTGGGCTTTCATCGTCTACTACTAACATTTAATTCTGAGAAACATATTGAAATTTCACTGTTACTCCAGCCAAGTGAAGAACAAGATGTCTCGAATGATGTTCCAAGTAAGAAAGAAAAAGGAATTGAGATGGAGCAGGATTTTGCTGCTGATACATTTAGTGTCAGTGAGGATGACTCTGAAGAGGATAATAATGAAGAAGATGATGAGGATCAGCAATTGGAGTCTGCTGTGGGGGAAACCGGAGAAAAGAGTGAAGTGGTTGATGAGAAGCTTCAGGGAAAGGATGATGATGACAATCTAAATAACAATGAGAAGTATGAATCTGGGCCTTCAGTTAAGGACAGTGACAAGAGCAGTAGGGAATTCAGAGGTAAGGAAGACTCTTCTGGTGCTGCTGATGAACCTGACGAAAATAAAATGGATGAACTTGAGAAGGAAACTGGTGAGACTGAAAACCAGGCTGATCTTGATGAGAATGAGAACATTGAAGACCTGAACTTAAACAAAGAAGAAGCATTTGCTGATCCAACTGGACTGGATCTCAACGAGCCATTTCAAAATTCTAGTGAAGATATCAACATGGACGAAAAAGAGGAAACTGATGTTGTGGATGAGAACGGTGAAGGTGAGGAAGAAGAATCTGTTAAAGATGGCACTGATGAAGGTAACTCGAATCCTGTTGATGAAACCATGGAAGAGATGGATAGTGAAAGAAATGATGGAACCACGGAAAAGGATGAAATGGTGGATGCAACTTCTGATGAGAAGGATGATCTTGGTGGTGATCACAAGGAGGATCCCAATTTCAACCAAATGGCTGCAAAGAAAAATATTTCTGAGTCAGAAATTTCTGATGTCAATGGTGATTGTGTTCCTGATGGGGGAACTGCGACGCAGGCAAACAGCGAGGTATTAGATGTGAGCAATATTGCACCCGAAGCAAACTGGGCTAATAGCAGTGACATCTACAATGACGTTGCTCAGAGAAATCTCCCTTCCACCAACAATTCTGAGTTGAATATGATGGCTGCCAACTCATCAGATAGTGGGAAGGTTGGTGATCATCATCCAAAATCAGAGTTCCCTCACCCAGATGATGCTCCATTTCATAGAAAACAATCAAACCCTTACAGAAATGTTGGGGATGCACTTCAGGAATGGAAAGAAAGAGTCAGCATCTCTGTTGATCTTCAGGATGATAACAAGGAGTCACGGGAAGAAATTGAGGATGACAATGCTAATGAGTATGGTTATGTCTCTGAGTTTGAAAAAGGAACAGCTCAGGCTCTGGGACCTGCTACAGCTGATCAGGTTGATGCTGATGTCAATGTCAATAAGCCTGATGAAAATACTGTTCCGAGAAAGGAAGATGGTATCACTGATATGGAAATAGATGAGAAAATTCTGATGAGTATCCTATTAGGCACTCTTCCTCAATCATTAAAAATAAGATCAACGACCAGGTTCAGGTTTCCGAGTTAGAGGAGCAAGCAAATCATCAATACCCTAGAGACCATAGACATGATGATGGTGATCAAAGAAACATTTCAGAGTGCTTGGTCTCTTTAAAGAAGTCTTACTTGAGTGAAGATGTATATCAACTCAACAGACTTTCTATAAATGAAGAGGAAATGGGACAAGTCCAGCACCTTGAAGAAGCTTCCGGTGAGGTCAAAAGTAATGCAAGTGCTCTTTGGAAAAGATATGAGCTGCTTACAACAAGATTATCCCATGAGTTGGCTGAACAACTACGTCTTGTTATGGAACCCACCATTGCCAGCAAACTCCAAGGGGATTATAAGACTGGCAAAAGGATTAACATGAAGAAGGTAAAGAGTGTATGTTACATAGGGTGTATATGCCTACTATATCTTTTGTTATAACTTCTGCAAGATCTCATTTTTCTCTCAACTCATTTATGTGTTTGAAAATTATAGGTCATTCCGTACATTGCTAGCCATTACCAGAAAGATAAAATCTGGCTAAGGAGGACCAAGCCAAATAAGCGAGATTACCAAGTTATTATTGCTGTTGATGACTCCCACAGTATGTTAGAAAGTGGTTGCAGTGAGGTTGCTCTTAAAGCTTTGGTGACTGTTTGTCGTGCCATGTCACAATTGGAGGTTGGAAATTTGGCTGTTGCCAGCTTCGGAAAGAAAGGAAACATAAGGTTGTTGCAAGATTTTGACCAGCCCTTCACTGGTGAAGCAGGTGTTAAGGTTAGTATTCAGAGTTATCCTCCTTGCAAGAGAATGGGCTTTATTTGCTTTGTCGCTGTGTCTTGCACTTAGGCTATATATGTGTCTAGTCAATCTCTCTCTGAGCTCCGATGCCACTGAGATTATGCATTTTTATAGTGTTTTTCTCTCATTTAGATCACGTGAAGTTTTATTCATCTCCTGCTTAACTGATTTCTTTTGTAATTAATTGTCTGGGACAGATGATTTCTAGTTTGACATTCAAACAAGAGAATACTATCACCGATGAACCAGTTGTTGATCTGTTGACGTTTTTAAATAAGAAGCTGGATGCTGCAGTTACAAATGCACGACTTCCTTCTGGACAAAACCCTCTACAACAACTTGTTCTAATTATTGGGGATGGCCGGTTGCACGAGAAGGTACATGTGTATTTTTGCTGAAATGACAAACGATAGGGAAATTATCTGCCAACAGTTTTGTCCAATCCTCATTGGTTAAGATTCTGGTTTATTTACTCTGTTTGTTGTTCACTATGTATGCAGGAGAACTTGAAGCGTCGTGTTAGGGATGTCTTAAGCAGTAAGCGAATGGTTGCTTTCCTGGTTCTTGATAGCCTGCAGGAATCAATCATGGATCTTAAGGTAAGTTGAGGAGGACCGTTTCTTTTTCCCGGGAGACTAGAATATTCGATTTATTTCTGACATCCTTGTTTGGTCTACAGGAGGTTATGACTAGTCAGGACAAGAACAATCAATTTAAAATCTCGGTCTCAAAGTATCTGGATTCTTTTCCCTTCCCATACTACGTTGTGTTGAGGAATATCGAAGCACTTCCCAAGACCCTAGCTGATCTATTGAGACAGGTAAGTTGGCTCAAGGTGATCATTTGTGTGTATATTTATTTATTTGACAACCATGAGTGAGTTTCGGTTTCGCTCTTGCTGTTGGCAGTGGTTCGAGCTCATGCAGAATTCAAGAGACTAGACACACAGTTATGATCGAAGGATGGAGATGCGGAGAAGATGAAAGGAGCACAAATGAGTAAATATCCAACACAGCTAATTTGGGAGCTGCCTATTAGGAGATGAAACTGATGATAGATCCATATTCTTTATAGGTATAAATGTGACAGACAAGTATGTATGATAGCCAGCTTGGTAAGCTTCATTGTGAAACCCCCCTATCATTTTCTTCAAGAAACAGAACTTTACTAGAAACTTGTTAAAAAGAGCAAACTGGTTGTGTTCGATGATGTATACTATACGTTGTATAGTTGGATGTTTACTCCTTTTGAAAATGAAAAATGAAATTCTCTCCAATGGGCCAATGCTTTCGAGCTTCCCGAAAATTTCGTTAAAGTAATAGAATATTGAATAATCCGACCTTTTCTTTGTTTAACAAGGACATTTAATTTGGTGAAATTTTTATAGCTTCTTGCCAGCTGAGGGAGAGTGTCAAAAATCTCTTGTTCCATAGTTTTATCTCCATCCATCCTAACTAATAATGTAGGTGTAAGTTTGTACATTAAATATTAATATATTTATGACCCGTTAATACTAATATGTATATTTTAAGATCCATTAAAAATGTTATAATTCTTTTTGACATGTGATATAATCTACTGTTAGTATATAAACTTATAAACTGATAATACATCAAATATAGATCTTAATGAATGGGGAAAAGAAAGACTGTAAAAGAGATACAGCTTACATGCTCCTTTTTCAGCAAATAATGTATTGAGGTTTATGTGGCAAGGCAAGACTATGCTTATTACCTTTTTCCTCGAATGTATATAAAAAGTTACACTTCAAACATTGTTATAAAAGTGTATGTTTCACAAAATAAAAACTCTATAAACTATCTCGCTCATTTTAACGTATCAATTTATTGATAATATTTTAATGTTAATTTTATCAAACATAATGAAATTTAAATAATAGAAAGAATTTAAGGTGATTTTCCCAATAAATCACCCTTTCATCTTTATTTCCTGATCTAACACCCTTTGCAGAAAGACTCGGCCTATGCACCGCGCCTTACGTTGATGTGGCGCAACGTGTAACAACCGAGTGCTAATTTTGTAAATATTTTTAAAATGGTACCTAATATATAATTAATTTTTATTAGAGTGATTTTTATGCAAAAACATCAACTTTATTTATTTTTTGTGTATGAAAAAACTTTCTACATTAAAATATTTAAATATTCTTTTACAATTTATTTTATAAATAGACATTTTAATTTTTGCATGAAATTACACAATATGTATAATATAGTATAGGGAACTTTGAGGGTAAGTAATTTAAAACATGAATAATTTTATAACTAGTATTTCTTTTACAAAATGATGATGATGATAATAAATATTTTATAATTTATAAATTATAAATTTCCTATATTTTTGGAAAATTTATTGGCTTTTAAAATTAATTGTTTAAAAATATAAAATATATAAAAATAATTGATTCTTTAACTTTACATTCTGTTTTTATTAAATTTTATTCACTTTTTATTTTTTTTATTGTATTTTTATTGATTTTTAAATATATGAGTTATAATTTAAATTAATAATTTATTCAGCTATTATTCAAATTAATTAAGAAAAATTATGGTAAAATGTTTCTAAAATAAAGGTATAAATACATACATGAAAATCTAAAGATTTTCCCCTCTTTTCTGTTACTCTCTAAACTTGTAACAAAATTTAATAAAAAAATATAAAACTAAAAAATATCACATATATATGTAAAATATTCTTTCTAATATTAATTTTAAAAAATGTAAAATAAATATTAAATTCTAATTTTATTAAAAATGAATAAACATTATTAACTATTGTTAAAAAATAATAATTAATGAATAATAATTCATTTGATCCATCAATTGTAATTAAAAGTTTATTTTAATATTTTTTATATTTTTAAACAATTAATTTTAAAAGTCTATAATTTTTTTTCAAAAAAAATATGAAATTCATTATTTTTTAAATTATAAAATATTTCTTATCATCATCATCATCATTTTGTAAAAGAAATACTAGTTATAAAACTTTTATAAAATTATTCATATTTTAAATTACTTACACTCAAAGTTTTCCTACACTAGATTATACATATTGTGTAATTTCATACAAAAATAAATTTATCAAGTTATAAAATAATTTACAAAAAAAATTTAAAGATTTTAACGCAAAAAATTTTTTTAGCACACACAAAAAATAAATAAATAAAAGTTAGCATTTTTACACAAAAATCAACCTAACAAAAAATTATTACATATTTAGCATCATTTTATAAAAAAATTACAAAACTAACACCTAATTTTTAGACGTTACAAAAGACAAAATGCATGGGTCGCGCCATTCTACAAAGTGTATTAGATCAGAAAATAAAGATAAAAGTATGCCTGACAGGATAATAAAATTTGAAAGAATGATTTATTAGGTAAATCGCCAGAATTTAATCTAAAACTAATAGAGAAAATAACCTCAGTGACCAAAAAGGCCTTATAATATACGATTTTAACCAATTTTTTTTTGGATTTGCCAAAATGACCATTTAAATCGCAATGCGATCGATAATTCGCAACGCGATCTCCGGTATCGCAAATCAGTTTCTAGATCCACAACGCGATTCTGACTATCGCATTGCGATTTTCCTAATTCGCAATGCGAATACGTAAAATCGCAATGCGAATACGTAAATCGCAATGCGAATACGTAAATCTCAATGCGAATATGTAAATCGCAACGCGAATCTGACTATCGCAATGCGATTTACATAACGCCATTCGTATCGCAACGCGTATTTTTTTTTAAATTCTAAAACACGAATATATTAATATATCGAAACACTGAACCGTCCACAGTATATCCCGTAATCGTAACTCATAACCTAAAACCCTAAATCACAACTCAATCTCATCTCCATCTCTCACTCTCTAAGGCGACATCCGTCCCCATCTCCGACGAAATCAGTCCCCATCTCCGACGAAATCAGTCCCCATCTCCGACGATATCAGTCTCCATCTCCGGCGAAATCATTCACGGTCAGAAATGGAAAATCAACCAAATCAACCACCGAGGGTTAGTTTTTTTTAATTATTTTTATTTTGAAATTTTTGCATTATTATTAGGTTTTTCATATTAAAATTGATGATAAGTTTACTGGTGTTTTCAATAATAGATTAACCATTTCACTTAGATTGCTTATTAAATTCATTCGATTGCTGCCAATACTGCTAAACTGTTTAGTCTTTAACCCTGTGAAGTTAGTATTTGTCTTTGTTTTGTCTTTTGGTTGAAGTAATGCAATCCATTCAAGTTTCTTTCAATTTTAGTATTTGAAACCGAGAATGACTATCGTAATGCGATTTTGTCGTTGCGATTTTTAATTCGCGTTGCAATTCTTGCGTTGCGATAGTCAAATTCGCGTTGCGATTGTCATTTTCGTGTTGCGATTTTCATTTCGCGTTGCGATTCTTGCGTTGCGATAGTCATTTTCGTGTTGCGATTTTCATTTTCGTGTTGCGATTTTAAGTTTTAGAAACTATTCTTCTTCTGCAAATTGAAACTTGAATGAATTGCATTACTTCAACCAAAAAACAAAGACAAATACTAAATTCACAGTGTTGCAAATTTAAGTTTGAAGAATTAACTACTACTCTTTATGTTTATTGTTCTTGTTAGATCTTCACAGTGTAGTTTTTGGTATATCTAACTTGGTATGTTTATTGTTTTTGTAGAACTTTTATTCGGCTCAATTGACCTTAAGAAATAAAGTAAGCTGGCCAAAACAATTGCGTCGAAGCTTTCACCTGCACAAAGAAAAATATTTGAGGATACTTGCTTTGGGTCATAGCTGAAAGTACAACATCCGAGTGGAGATGCTATGTTGACCCATCTGTTTCTTCAAACCATGACTAACGATCTACCAGAGACTATACAACGTCGTGATGAAGAGATATGGTTTGATTTTCCACCGGCGTATACGTGTTTTGGGCGGGAGGAGTTTTGCTTAATCACCGGTTTACGCTTCGGACACGATGATGTAGATCGGTACACTAGACATATTACCCGCCTATCATGGTTTTCCCGGGTTTTTCCTGAGCTGTCAACGGAGAAGCCGAATTTACACGTGGAAGACTTGACGAGATTATTGAATAAGAAAGATGGTTTTACTCGGATGGATGACTTCGATGTTGTCCGAGTATGCATTCTAATACTTTTGCAAGTCGGCTTTATAGGCAGGGAGGCCCGACAACCTATTCCTAATGATCTAATTAAATTGGTAGAGGACCTAAATGCATGGAACATGTTTCCGTGGGGTTCGTATCTATGGAAAGCTACATGGAATAAGTTGTCGTCTGCCTTTGATGATCGAAAAAGTTTGTGTGGCGATGGTTCCAAATACACTTTGTCAGGCTTTATTTGGGCCTTTAAGGTAATAATTTTTATATAATGTTTCCAAAATTATAATTAATTCTTTAACAATTACTAATGTTTGTTATTATATTGTTTGTAGATTTGGATATTTGAGGCCTTTCCCGCCATGCAGACATATGCATTAAAAACTTCTAATGATATTCCTAGGGCTATTTCCTGAAAGAGGAAACGATCCTTACAGCAATGGGAAAATTTACTACGGTATACTATAATAAATAATGTAAGTTAACACAAATACTATCATATGTTTATAAACAAGTTATTACTAGTACATGTTTAACTTTGTTTGAGCTTTTATATTGTTAGGAGGCCAACACTCCATTACAGAGGCTGACACCCACGGAAGCTGAGCTTGCCACTGATTGGTGGCAAGCTAGTAAGCATTTTTTTGATGGCACGGATGATGAGCAACCACCACTTCGAGAGCCATCACCTCACCCAGAGCCATCACCTGATTGACCCGAATATACACCTCCACAACGAGAGTCATCACCTATTCTGTCACATCATCGAGCCTCTTCTCCACCATCACCTCATGATAGGAGACCGATAAAGATGCCACGACGTTTATCTCCCTGTTCTCCACCTCCAAGGGATGAGTTAGGGGAGTTACGTAATGAGGTCAATGCCTTGCATGAGGAGGTCGGTACTTTACGCGATGACAATGGTGCATGGCGTGTTGAGGTGTCTACTTTACGTGGTGAGGTAGCAGCTCTACGTGAGATTGTAGCATCGTTACAGAACGAGGTTCATACTCTACG